ACCTCATCCAAAAAATATTGTGAAATTAATGGTAGTTTTGAAGGAGGCGTGGAATAAAATTGCGCCTGAAATTTTAACAAATTTAGTTGAAAGTTTGCCAAGGAGGGTTCAAGCGGTATTAGATAGCTATGGAAAGCCAACTGGATATTAATAAAATTCATGTTTTTCTCAATAAAATGATATAAATATTTTATAATATTTGTTTATAAATTCTCAAGAAATTAATTGTTGAAGTTTGTGCATTTTTATCCGGTTTTTAAAGTGGTCGGACACTTTTGATTCTAATTCTTTTAGTCTCAATAAGCGCATCTATTTCCTTTTTACTAGTAATCAAATTCGCCTCATGTTGCGATGTATAACAATATATTGTGACTTAAGCCTTTCTAACACTATCGTTAGATTTTGGATATGTTGTTATCAAATGATATCAGCCGCTCAAGATTTGAAACATTCTTTGCTTCGGTTAATAATTGTTTTGCCTCTTTACTTAACCTCTTTGACGAAATGATAGTTTGTTTTTCAATTGTGTATTTTCGTTTGTAAGTTTATAACATGTGTTACGTAGTTCTGTACATTTATCAAGCAGATAGAATCCATTGTCTATAGCGACTTCTAATTTTGGCTTTAGCCTTTATATCCTCACTACGTGATCGTTTCGTAGTAGAGAATCTATCCTTTGGTGGTCTGCTAATTTCTTTCCCTTGCCTATCGTAAATTAATCCCATATTGTATGTACATTTCCATTTACGCTTCACGTAATATATATAAAGTAAATATTTAAAATATCTCAAATTTTTGTTAGCTTTTATCATTTTTCACGAAAAGCCTTATTAGTTTATTATGCTGACCACATAATTGTTTTCCATTTCCGCAAATTAAGCAGAAAGAAGTGGACTTAGTACCTCTTCGTTTAATGACAAAAGCATGCGTCCCGCAAGATTCATTTTGTAGAACGGATACAATATTCTTTTATCTCCTTAACTAACCAATGACACGACATAATAAGCTTAGCTCTCTATTGTATCAGAATATTTTTATCACTGATTTATCTGTGCATTCTGCTATTTTCTTAGAGTTCACTATTGTATTCTTTGGTAGTAGGTAAGTTGTGCTACATCCTATTTACGCCTAAGTAAAAAATCGTTACCACTGGACTACTTCGCATAATAACCATCTGTGAGGTATAAAAAGTAGACGGTGGCAGGGTGAGCTGCCAGAGAGCAGGAAAACAGGAGTAAAGTAATCTCCCGCGACACGATGTGACAACAAAAATGCTACCACTGGTTTGTCCATGCTTGTCAAATTGACAAGTCTACAACTATTGCACAATATTTAACCTGAGAATTTAGAAGAAAAAACCAAAGTTTTTTTAATTTTATTTTATTTTAAATCAACATAATTATCCTTTATTTTAACAAAAGTTTTAAGATGAGGG